GCAGCAGCTGCAGCCTGAGTGTCCTGCCCACACCTGCAGCAGCTGCAGCATGAGTGTCCTGTCACACCTGCAGCAGCTGCAGCCTGAGTGTCCTGTCCACACCTGCAGCAGCTGCAGGCTGAGTGTCCTGCCACACCTGCAGCAGCTGCAGCCAGAGTGTCCTGCCCACACCTGCAGCCTCCACCCTTCTGCCTCCTTCTTCAACATCCCTTTAACTTCCCTCAGGCCTGAGTCTGAGTGGCTTACCTTGGGGTTCACTTTGAGGTCCATATATTGACCTAGAGAAAAAGGAACACAGAGTGCTGAAGTCAAACTGTGACAGGGAGGGAGACAGATGGCTGGGAGTTCCAACAGTGAGGTGAGGACCTTGGTTACATGGGAGGGACAGGGTGAAGGAGGGAAGGGAGAAAATACAGAGGGATGCTCATGTAAGTGTGGGGTCTTGGGAGAAGACAGCAGCGAGGTGGGGAAACAGGAAGCTGGCAGAATTTACCTTCAGGTTCAACATTGTCAGTGTTTTCAATGAGGTCCCTGCACAGGAACAATGGACAACATATCAGAATCTGGACAGGAAAGGGTTAAGACATCAGGTGCTGGGCTGCAGAGATGGCTCAGTTAGGAAAGTAAGTGTCACATAAACAGGAAGTCCTGATTGCAGACCCAGGACCCACAGGATGCTGGATGCTGGAGAAGCAGAGACAGGCAGATACATCCCTGGAGTTCACTGGCCTGGACTAACAGAAGAGCTCTAGATTCAGGGACAGACCCTGTCTCAAAAGATAGAGTGGAGGGCTGGAGGGACGGTTCAGCTGGCAAAGTGCCCACTTCACAAACACAAAGACCCCAATTTAGATCCCTAAGGACCCATGTGAAAAATCTGGACATGATATGCCTGTAGAATGGGGATGGAGAGAGGAGGATCCCTGAAGCTCATTGTCTGGGCAGCCTGGCCCAACTGATGAACTCAGGTTAGTGAGAGACCCTGCCTCAAAATAAATATTGAATAAAGGCGGGAGAAAGGGGGGGAGTCACTACATAGACCTCTGGTCTCCACATGCAATACAGGTGCATACACACACACACACACACACACACACACACACACACACACACACACCAAACATGCAGGAATACAAAACAGAATGGAGAACAACTGAGAGACACACCATTGATCTCTGGCTTCAACACACTGGGCACATGTGGATGTGCACCTGCACATGCACACACACAGGAACATAACAACACACACAGAACTGGGCATGGTGGTGCATGCTTGTAATCTCAGTGCTCAGGAGGTGGAGACAGGGGGACACTGATGTTCACTGACCAACCAACCTGGGCCAACTTGTGAGTTCCAGACCAGTGAGAGACCTTTTCTGAACCAAACCAAACCAAACAAAGCCAAACAATAATAACAACAATAATAACAAAAATCCAAAACCCAAGGTGAAATGACTTTGTGGGTAAGGCCAGACCATCAAGACTGACAACCTGAGGGTCATCCCAAGGATCCACAAGGTGGAACGAAAGAGAAAGCTCTAAGAGGTTGTCCTGTGTCCTCCACTTGTGGGCCATGTCAAGTCATACTCACACACATGCACACAACAGATAAAATGTAATAAAATAATTATTTAAAAGAGTGGATGACACTGGAGAACACACAAATACAGACACAGACACAGACACAGACACACACACACACACACACACACACACACACAACCACACACACACACACCAGGAGCTGGTTCATTCTGAATGGTCACTGCCATCCACAGTGACTCATGATGATATCACGGTGTTTGGCCCTCAGAATTAGACCTTCTCTGGAAGAGAATGAAAGACGATTGGGAAGGTGGCCTGGCCGAGGTCTCTCAGCACTAGCTGAAGGGGAGTCATTCTAGGAAATGGGCTTGCCCTGGGTGGGAAAAGAGACTAGAAATAGGAAGAACCGAGTCTATTCTCTCTCACTACCTTGAAAACTAGAAGACAAGAAAGTTTCAGATCTCCTGGTAGGTGCTCAGGCTGGGTTCGGTAAGAAAGGACCTGAGATGGGACTGGAGGAAGGGTATCTGGCCTAAGAAGCCACAGGGAGAGGAGAGATGGAGGAAGCTGGGATGCAGTGTGGCTAGTGGATGATTGAGTTTTATGCACAAGGCCCTGGGTTCCATCCCAGCACCTCATAAACCGGGTGTGGTTCGATGCCTGTCCTTCCAACAGGTGGGAGGTGGAGACAAAAGATCAGAAGTTCAAGGTCATCAATGGCTACAGAGTGAGTTTGAGGTGATACTGGACTAAATGAGACTGTTTCTCAGAAAAAAGGTGTTGGAGAAGGAAGGGTCAGAGCAGGCCATGTACAGTAGGAAAAGAAGAGGCAGGAGAGAAGGGTGGAGAGGTTGGGGGTGAAGAGAAGAGGGTAAGAGATGTGGAAGATCTGGAACAAAGGATTCTGGGACAGCGGGGTTCACTGACCATAGACAAAGACAGAGAGAAGAAAGAGAAGGATGGGAGAGCTGTTGAATCCAGGCAGATGTTCAAGGCTGAGAGGAAACAGAGACAGAGAGGGCAGCCCAGGAAATGGATGGAGAGAGGGAGGAAGAATGAGTCCTAAAGTGGGTGTTGTTCTGGGAAGGAGACTCCTGAGACCCTCTGCACTCCTTGTCAGTGTGTGAATCTGGTGCCCTGAGGAGGGAGATGTCATAGGCGAATGGGAGGGAGCAGACAGGAAGAGTCAGTGGTTAGGGAGATGTGAAGAGCCCTTGTGTGGTTCTCTTTTTTAATGTTATTTGAAGGGGCTGGAGAGATGTCTCAGTGGTTAAGAGCGCTGGCTGCTCTTGTAGAGGACCCGGATGGCGCTCACCTGGCTGGGGTTTTGGCTTTAGTCCTCTGTCCTGTGGGGAAGAAACAGTGTCAGTGTGACATCAGTGCTGATCTTCCACCATCCCTCTCAGCTGTCCTTTGTGTGCAGACCACCTTCAGAGAACAGGGGAGCAGAGAACCTGCCCCAGGCAGTCAGAG